CATACATACATACATACATACATACATACATACATACATACATACATACATACATTAAATGTACATGTATATATACACACCCGCACGCGCGACCAAGTTCAATAAGTAGTGGTATGATGTGTACTATCTAAAAGATTCTTAAAATCGTGGAAACAGAAAAAAAAATAAGTGACTCTTATCGTAAGAGTGGGGCAAGGTCTAAAGAATCTTCAGATAAACACAACTGGAAGACATCGCAGTCTTGCCAGTGTGTAATTGCGTTTTGAAATCCTCAGTTGTGAAGCGCCCCCAAGCATTAATGAATATTGTGATATTATAGGTTGCCATAAACTACACTGTTGGCGTTAAGGTGGTGACACAGAGGGCTGGTCCGTTTGAGCTTGTGGAGAAGCCGTGAATTCTGGTTGGTTACGTCGCTTCAACAAACTGGCTCAATGAAAACAAGACCATGTGGTGACAGTGACAGTTGTGAGGATCACTGTTCAAGCATTGCTGTAACGGTCAGACAGAAGAATGGCACCAGAGCCATCGGTATTAAATTCTACTGATAGTAATAAGTTCCCTACGATAATGGAGCCTTCAAAAGATTCAGAGGTGGGCAGTGGACCTGGGAATCCAGATCCAGATGCAGGTTCAAAAGTGGAACTGAAGCAGAAAATCACTCTGTGGAACGGAGTTGCTATCATTGTTGGAACAATTATAGGCTCTGGGATTTTTGTGTCTCCTAAAGGTGTACTACAAGAGACAGGATCCGTGAGTATTTCATTCCACTTGTCAGCATCTTTGTTGTCAATTTCATTGGTCTGTTGTTTGTTTTCTTTTATTTTTTGTACGCTCTGTGACAGGGATGGGATCATGCCATGGGGCGGGTCCCTCCTTACTTACACTACAACGCCACCGTTACCGTATGATTCTCATGTCTGGATCTGTTTTTATTTATTATTATTGTTCTACCCTTAAACACAGACTTCCAATTGCAGAACCAAAGCAAAGCTTTTGGCCATAAACTTTCCCGTCTGGCTTAAAAATCACTAGAGCTAGATCTAGAATCTAGATCTGTCAGTCATCATCGATATATCGATGGACAGCCAGAAGAATAGTCTGCTCGTGATAGTGGGGCCTGCTTGTGCTGATGCAAGACGTAGATCTAGATCTAGAATCTAGGCCTAGATCTAGATCTAGAATCTAGATCTAGATATAGATTTCTATATCTAGATTAGATCTAGAATCTAGATTCTAGTCTAGCGGCGTAGCGGTTGGTTTTGGGTATGTTTGTTTTTTAATGCTAAACAGTGAATGAAATAGATCTAGAATCTAGGCCTAATAGTAATATGTGGCACTAGATCTAGAATCTAGATCTAGTCTAGGCCCTAGATCTAGAATTTTTCACGTGTTAACGGTCAACATTTAGATTCTAGATCTATATAGATCTATATATATAGAGATCTATATGGCATTTATATTAAATTAATAATATATTCAAAAGTGCAAGTATTATTGTAGGCTACCTGTACATTTTTAGAAAGACAAGAGTGAAGAAGAAGGCGTGGGGGTGGGGGGGGGGGAGGGGGGGTTGAAACAGCCAGCAAAATGAAATGTTCATCTTCATTTCAGAAAAAAAAATTGTTTTCATGTTTGCCCAGTATGGTCTTATAGTTCAATAACTCCACATGTTAACAAGGCATGCTTTTGGTACTTTTTCAGTATATTTAATGATAGATTAGATCTAGATCTAGATCTAGATCTAGAAAGCAATTCAGATCCTATGTAAGGAAGACCATGTTACGTATAATTTTTACCTGACACCTTGATTCTTTATAAAATCCCCCTTTCTCCTTTCCATGAAAAAGAGAGGGGGGGGGGGTCAAAATTTCAATCATTGCCTCATTTAAAATTGGAGGTTGAGGCAGGGTTGGCATGTGATTTACTCAAATTAGAACTGGAAGTGGATGATTTCAGCACTTTCGCGTCCTTTCTTTCAGTGTCCATCGGAAATAAACTGACTACTCTTTTGTCAGCTTTAGCCCTTATTCCTCTAACTTCAAGCCCAATCTATGATTCTATGACGTGGTATCTGGTTTAATGCCGAATAATCACCCAGTTTCTGGTATCTTAGAGGTTTTTTTACTCAGCATCCTTGGCAAGACCACTAAAAAAAACTAAAAGGAAATTGTGCAACAATGCACTAAATGAATGCTTGTGCTCGAGTGCACCTGAAGAGGTGAAGTCAGGTAGCCTAGGTTAACAGGGAAGAAATGAGAATAGCATCGACCCTTGAATTTAGCCATAACTTAATCTACAACATAAGAAGAAGACTATTAGCTAAAATTAATATTCTTGAACTTCTCCTCTCGCAGGAATCATCCTTTTTGATTTTATTATAGTCTAACATATTAGTTAAACCTCTGAGTTTGCAATGGTTTGAAGTTTAAACTAGAATTTCCGGTCAAGGCTATTTTGTTGACCAATCTAGCTCTGCCATCCAGACAGAAAAATTTGGTTTGAGACTCCTTCACTTATTTTAACTCAACTCTGTATGCTAATGCAATCTTGAGGAGTTTATCGTCTGTGAAATCGATTTTTCGTCTTGGGTCTTGCACTATAAAAGCTGCTTTTTTTTCTTAAATTATATCTGAGGTCCTCAAAAAATTTCTGAAGATAGTCTGTAAAACAACTCCAAAATATGTCACATAGTCCTCACTCCCTCTTTCTTCATCAGTTTATTGTTGAATTTTGAGTCTTTTCTGTCTCTGACCGGTGTCTGTGCTGTAGCAGGTAGGCACTTTTGCTGCCGCACGCAGAAGGCCTGAGTTTGATTCTTGTGTGACGTTTATTTATGTATTTAGTATCTCCATCTTCCTGCTGAAATATTCATGTCATGTATCAATCTTAACCAAGTTTGGCCTTGTCAGGCTAGGTTGAAGCCTGACTCCTAAATTGATCTAAATTTAAATTGTGTCATTTGAAGTGTAAAACACACATTTAATTGTAATTTTTTTTTAAATGAGTCCCAGAGAGTAAAGGACGCAATTTTTGCTTTTTTTTTTTGTCCTTCCACCTACAACTCCATCATGGTTCGATTTTTATCACACTAATGCAATGTTTGAACTACTTGAAAATCTAATGTCATACTGCCTTGTTCTTCAACTAGGAAAAGATAAAGTATTCAAGTATAAAAAGTATTTTGATTAAAATTTTCCACTCTCGTGAAATCTGGCTGAAGTTAAAACATCTTGTTTATTGCAGGGGTCTGAATTTATCAGTCCCCATCCCCCCCTCTCTCTCTCTCTCTCTCTCTCTCTCTCTCTCTCTCTCTCTCTCTCTCTCTCTCTCTCTCTCTCTCTCTCTCTCTCTCTCTCTCTCTCTCTCTTTCTCTCTCTCTCTTTCTCTCTCTTGCTCTCTCCCCCTCTTTTTCCCTGCCCCTCTCTTTTCCTTACTCTCCTCTCTATCTATCTATCTCTCTCTGACTTTTTGTCCATCTATCTCTTCCGTAGGGAAAATTGTATCATTCCAAGTCCGTCATATTATGATCTGTTTCTTTTCTTGTATAACACTGTCAGTGCATGCTGTTTGGCGGTTGCACGACTATAGACTTCCTGCACACAAGTCTTGATGGTAAATGGATTTTCATATGTGTAAAATGTGTTGAAAAAATTGAAAGTACATATATCACTACAGTAATGACTACGGTAATGATGAATGATGTGAACGAAAAGACATCTTTTTCTTGATCCTTACTTTTTAAAAGTTGAATTTCACCACCCTTGTATCAAATAAGATAATAGAAAAGATTGCAAAAATGCTTTTCCACTTACACATTCTTCTTCTTCAGAGATGTTCGTTCTCTTGTCAAGAGCACCGGTAATGAAAAACTAGGTTCTGAACGTTAAAGGATTCGGTGGGCAATTCAACCTCCCTCAAGCCTTTTAAAGTATTGATAACCATCCTTTCACCCGCACTGTTTGTCTTAAGTTGCACTTGAAAACGGTTGGCGCCTGTGGGTGAAAAAGATTAATGGTGTGTTACACCATTATGCGTGAAAATTATCAGAATGGCATTAGCTTTCTGTTATCAACCAACACTCATCATACATCAGAAGTAGATCACAGTGTTGTTATCTATCACTTTTGGTAAAGCCGCCGTCTAGTATAGCGCTTATCGTAAAAACATAACATACACTCGAAGCCCGACTCAGCTCGGCGTTGTGTCCTTCGGAGAAACACTTGACACAAATTTCCTATCGGAGATGGGCGTTAGATTCGAAGGCCCCGCCTCTTAACCTCACTGTGTTGCACGGGGCATCAATGTTATACATTTCGGTACATATCTATGTATCCGTCAAGTACGCAAGTGGGTGGTTGGCGAGTGCTTTGGTGCTGTTTGCTTCTTCTTTCCTATCAAACATCTATTGTCCTTATCTCTCCACCTTCTTTTTGTGTGTATGTTACTCTCTTGTAACACCTTTGTTCTGCGGCACTTATGTGACCGTATTGTGTTGCAAGTGCCATAAAACTCGTACAAAAACAAGTACCCAGAAGAGAGAGAGAGAGAGAGGGGGGGGGGGGGGGGGGGGGGGGGGGGGGGGGGGGGGGAGGGAGAGAGGGGGGGAGGGAGAGAGAGAGAGAGAGGTAGGTCCCAGACTTTTTTTCTTCCCTACTGTTGTTTCTATCTGTTGGTCTCCTGCCCGTCTTTTGTCTTCCTTTTTCCAAGCACTAAATGACCGTTATTGTATCCACGCGCTACCCTTTACTCGAATAAACAAACAAGCCGTTTCGTTATTCCTACTACATGTATGTCTAATACGTGCCATAAATTAGAACGTGAACTTTCGGCGACCGGACAGCAAAGTTACCCAAGCCACCTCCTATCTAGAGACGGCGTCAGTGTGAAGCGGCAGCTGCTGCCGCCAGACGTGACCTGCAGCTGTCCGCTCTCTGCGACCACTGTGAAGGCCGGGGGTGTGTCTAGGACGTAAGACTCTAATAGACTCGGTTCTATCCCTGTTGATCCGAGATAAGCCAGAGGTCTCTGGGGCTGTGTCGTGCGTGCTCTGTCTCCCTGTTCCTGGCCATGGGGGCAGTTGGTTACGCGATGAATCCGAATAGAGAGGCGATAATTATTTTATTAATCGTTATTCTAACCATGATTTTAATCATATGTATAATTGTAATCCTGACCAAGTTATTACGTTGATAATAATAGAAGTATCAGTAAAGATAGGAGGAGGAGTAATAATGATAATGATAATGAGAGGGGGGGGGGGGGGGGGGGGTGATCAAAGTCTTTACCCTGGCTATGAGCCGAACAGTGGTGATGGAAAATGTGATTTTCTATCTTTCTAGAAGACCGCTACATGTGGAACTTTGGGAAAATGCATTGAGCGGTTAAAACGTGAGAGCATTTTAGTGAACGTGTTGTTGTTGTTTTTTATAGATATTAAAAGATACCGCCTCCTGCTATAGGACAATGCTCCAGCGCACAGAATTGTGAAGGCAACTCCGACACCAAGGCTGTATGGCTACGAAATTCTCCCACATCCACCCAGTTCACTAGATATAGCACATTCGGGCTTCTCCTTTTCTCAAATCTCAAAAATTCTCACTGGAAGCGTTTATGTAATGATGAGATGTTATTCTGCAATGAAGGAATGGTTTGAGTCCCATCCGGGGTCATTTTATGCTCAAGGACTTTTGAAAGTCAAACAAACAATGCGAAAGTATGTCTATTTGCATTGTGTGTCTGCAAAGAAGTGG